CAATGGATTGAAGACCTGATTGCACCTGCTACTTACAAGTGGATTGCCTATAGACATAGACTTTGTACAGACAAGTATAATGAAATATGGGACTCATTTATAACTTTCTCAATTATGAAGTTTCACATAGTTCTCCTATACCTACTCCGGCTTATTTCAAAGGCACTCCCTGCAATATGTATTTACACCTTCATCTCCTTATTTAAGCACTGTACATCTGAAATTACCAGTTAATGCCAAAATTTAGAACAAAACAGCTGTTTCTGTTACTGAGGTTAGAACAAACAGATCATATTCTCTAATTCTATCCTAAGCATTTTTGTTTAATGTTCTGCTACAAGGAAATAATGGAAATTCAAAACAAATCCTTGTGCCTTTTTCATCCTAGCACCACAGAATTAATCCATGCCAAGTGAAATTTGCTATACAGTCTACAGAAAAATTTACCAAAGGGATGATTAAAATAATATAAAGTTCCCAAGTGGAGATCACTGACAATAAAAAAATTCAGTCAGCATGTGGCTACTGTGAAAAATGCAAATTTCATGATGGAAACCTTTAAAAAAAGAACTGAAAAACTACCACCCTCCTCCTCCTAATACTAATTTAGTGAATTCTGATTGCCTCAGCAAGTATTGCTTTATGATGATACTTTTTCAAAATCATTAACTATCTTAAGGGTTTAAATCTCACCCAAAGAGCTTTGTAGAATATCATAATAACTAAGAAAACATGAAATTAATTTTTTAAATGAGGAATCATGCTAATAGGCACCAAGAAGCCCTGTGATGCTCAAACAAAGCAAGACTTCGGTTGCCATTGCCAGAGCCTCAACTGAAAATTCTCAGTTCATTAGGTGAAACCCCCAACTTTGCTGTGACTAGAGCCTATGACTTCTCTGTTTTGAAAGCACTGGAAATCCAATGACCAAGTGTTTATTACTTTTATGAATTATTTCTCACTCCAGGGTAGTTCCTGTTGTTATTATTGTTCGACTATTTGACTGAATTGTATTGTTTGACTATATTGTGTTGTTCAACTGTAACAGCATGAAACTAATCAAAACCACCCTCTCTACAACAACGTGAGTTTTATTCCAATTATTAAACTAAGTCAAATTAAGCAAGTGTGTTCTTACTGGATAGCCAAGGGTGATTAAACAAGACACCATTCACTCAAACTGCAATCCTTTCTTCTGCCATAAATTCACTAGCTGGCTTTCAGAGAGCTGCTCTTCTTCAATTTCTTATCCAGAAGGTGTTTTTCCCCCCCTACAGGAGGGAAGAAGTGGGGCCCTTCCAGTTTTGAACTACTGCAACCACAACCCCAGAGAGCACACGGCCAAGGGAAGGGATACTGAGAAGTACAGTCAGCAACATCTGGAAGGTCCTGAGTCCCCATTCCAACTGGGAAGGCTGCAAGATCGTGGCGATGAGACGTTACGTAAACGCTAAAGAGGCACAAGAGGACGGCTGCCGGCGCTGCTGGCGCTGGTGCCTCCTAGCAGCTGCCCTCGTCTGCCTTCCGTTCCCCGCCTCCCGCTCCTTTCCCCCTCCAAAGCCTTCCCTTCGCTCCCCAGTTTATTTCCGCGTTCGTTCCCCGCTCCGGAGAGTTCCCCATGTTTGCCCCTCGCACACCCACTTGTTAGTCTGGTGATAAAGCGCCTCCATGCCGACCACTCATCCACCGCGCTTGGACCATCGGAGTGCCTCTTAACACGTCAGCCGGTTCGAGGCCGGCACTTCCGGCTTCCTGTGGAGCGAAGCCCCCGGATGATGTCACGCATCCACGGCTGGCTGTCTTCGCTCTTGCCTGAGCGACGTTTGCTGAGAGGCGCGCGGCAGATCTGAGCTGCCGGAGTTACACGTGGCACTTTGACTTGTGTTGGTTACGGGAGCGTGGCTTGTAATGCCCTCAGACCTCCATAAAGTTTAGTCGATGCGGCATTTTGCATCTTAAATTGAAATTAAGTTATACCGATAAGCAGGGACTGCTCTTCTTCTTGGGATCTTCTCCCGGTCCCATTTCCTTATCGATAGCGCTAGTCGGGCGCACCGGATTTGCGATAGATTCTGTTTCTCTGGACTTGTATTGGCCCTAACTGAAGCTTTCCTGCCCATCGGTCCCGGCTAATAGCACAACTTTAGGGCGACGTTATTTTAAATGGGACCAGAGAGAGGCGAGAGACTAACTTCCTCCCCGTCCCACGGTCGCGGCCCTTCTTTCGTTAATGGGAAAATCCCGCTAAATGTATTTCTGTGGCTGTAGAAGAAATAGGAAGACAACTAACTCTGGCAATCTGAGCGGAGCTGGGGAAGCACATTTTCTAACAGTTTCCCTGGAGCGAGCAAGGCGGGGGATCTTTACAAGGGTTATCGAAGAGTTTATTTCGTTTGTGGTGTAGTCACCCATCTGAATGAATACACTTTGCCTAGGAAAAAGATGCTGAGAATCATTCTCATGCACTACTTGGGGAATGGCTGCTTTTGGGGCGGGGGGGGGGAGTAGGCAAGATCAACCTGGGAACTGAGAGCTAGGGTGGAAGATCATTTTTATGTTCACAATTCCTGAACATGCAACTGGGTAATTTGGAAATGATTTCTGAAAATCTGAAGATCATTGCTCTCAGGAAATGCACGACCTTTGGCTGCTAATAGAGTAAGGAGAAAAATGCTTCTAATTATTCAGGCATAGGTCAAACCAAGGCCTTTGCAAATTTTACAGGAAATTGCTTTTCTATTAATGGAACTAACTGCATTCTTTGTCCATCCCCCTCTCAACTCTTCCATTTTTTCTCACCTCACCTGGGGCCAGAGGACTTCAGAACGGATGTTCTGACCTGGTAAAAGCATTCCAGCAAAACCCTGTGATTTACTCAGGCCAATTTGACACAGTGGACCATAAACTATATGCACAGTCTCATTAATACAGTAAGCTAAAATGTTTTCAAGTTCAGTGCATGAGGACACAATCGGTTTGTCTTTTTCTCCTTGACTTTTTGAGTGTGTTTATGTACATGTGTTAAATAAACAAAATTTTAAAAAACCAGATACAGCAATGGGAAATTTACAAATGGATAAAATCAGATTCTACCTCCCTCTCTCCCACCCCAATTAAATTAGATTTGAGACAGGATAATCACACAATAAAATATTGTCATTTGGGTTCCATGTTTTGAGGATTCCGCGGCAGTACCAGTTGACTTGAACATTAGCTCAGCTGGCCCCTATCACCAAGCCAATAAGCCCGCAAAATGTATTTATTTCTAGTAAGATGGTGCACTGTTGAACCAAGATATTGCTGTTCTAATACTTCTTTCTTGGACCATCACTACTGCATTGATGTGTGGACTACAACTCCCAGAATTCCCCAGCCATGCTGGCTAGAATGCAGCAATAGCACAAACAATTGTGGCTGTACCTTGGTATGCCCATGTTACATCTTTGCTTCATGAACTGTACTGGCTCTCAGTAGGATTCCAGCTACAATGGAAGATGCCGGTTGTCACTTACAAAGCTCTTCATGGCATGAGGCCAGGATATTTGAAGGATTGCTCCTCTATGATTGTTTCTACCCACTCCATCAGGTCTGGCAGGAGGGGCATACTTCAGGTCCTGTGGAGTAGAGAATGTCATTTAGCAGGACCCAGGAAGCAAGCCTTTTCTATGGCAACATCAGCCCTTTGGAGATTAAATTTGCCCCAACCCTGCAAAAGCCCTTAAAACCTGGCTGTTCTCCCAGGCAGGGGAGGTGGGAGGTTAGTTGAGCCCGCTAAGTTCTGTTAATTTATTGTTGATGTGTTTATCCCTGGTTGGCCTTTTTCATTCTTCAGATTTTATTATGTGTTCTTTATTATTTCTGTTACTTGTTATTATACTGATGTTTTAATTGTGTTCATTTTACAGAGTCACTTTGTGAGATGGGCAGCCATATAAATCAAATTATATAAATAAACAAACACAAATAGTTGTATTTTAAGGGTATATCATGATGACTCTGCCCCTTAAGTGGGATTTCATTATTTATTTATCTTATACTACTTACACCTCACACCATTCCCAGAGGACTCTGGGTGGGGTACAACATCAAACAAAGAGAACATAAAACATAGCAACTAGATCAAAATCAATATCAAAAATCAACCACAAAAGAAAAGGAAATTAAAAGTTAAAATAGATGCCTGGAGTCTGTCAGCTGGGACCCAAGGCACGTTGAAATAAAACAGCTTTAACTTATTTATGGAATTGCAACAAGATTGGGGCTGCATGCATTTCTGGAAGGAGAGTATTCCACAAGGTGGTGGCTACATCAGAGAAGGCCTGCCATCTCACCCAGCCTCTGCACGCCTCATGAAGAGAGGGAGCTTTCAGCAGGCCTTCTCTCCATAACAGACCAGATGGCAGGTTCAATTCTGGCAAGGTGTTGCTTGAATATGCTGGTGCGATACTGTTGTCAGACCAGGTAGATGGCAACCAAGGAAGAGGGACAGATTAATTTGCTGTAAACAAAATCACCCAGTTCTTTGTCTACCTCCATAAGTGTTTACCAGCATGGAAATTTAGGATAAATTATGGAATGGAGAAATGAGTCAGGGTTACAGCTGAACCATGGTTGCAAGTGACATCATTTAAAGAGTTTTAGATACATGAATTATGTATTTACCTAAAAGGAAGTCTACACTTTTTCCAAAATAATTTACCTTTAAAATGAGAGGATTGGTTTAGTTTATCTGAGAATACAGTAACAGAGCTAGGTGATTTTCCCCCTTAATTTTCCTTTGAGGGGTGCTTCCTTAAATTGATAATCATCTTATTTTCAGATAAATATGGGTATCTGTCCAAACCCATGTCTTACTTTGGCTGCTGTGCCTTTGCTTGTGAGAAATAAAAGTTCTGTTCTACTTAGGTTTGGTCCAATGCCAAAAATACTGTGTTAGGTTTGGGGCACCACTGTTTAAGAATATGAGCCAACTTGCACATGTTCAGAGGAGGGTAAAAAGATTGTGAGGGGATGGAGATAAAGTTCTCTGAGGAAAGAATAAGGAAATAAAATATGTTCACAGGAAGTGAAAAAGTGGTCATATTCAGGTATCTGAATAGCTGTCACATACCCTATGTTTCAAACCTCTTTATTGTCTCTGCTGTTGGTGGGGTCCAAACAACAGGTTTAAAAGCCAAAAAAAAAAAAAAAGATTTGGCTGATATCCTCCAGATACTCATTATTAACATAGTCTTCAAATAATCAAAACAATGCCTATCTACATGGACATCACCTAATGATACACAGAAATCAAATTAACTATATTATTGGTACAAGGAAGTGGAAGAGCTCAGACATAACAGCAGAGCCAAGGCCAGGAGCTGATGGTGGGACAGATCATACATTGCTCATGTGCAAGTTCCAGTTAAACAAAAGCAGAACAACAAAGCCAAGCAGTTTCTATGATATGATCTGGAGCATATGCCCACCATTCTCAAGGAATAGCTTTAAAGTCCTGAACTTCATTGATCAGGAACCAGAGGAGCTGTGGAATTAACTTAAAGAAGTTGTTAGAGATGAATGTGAAAAGAGGCTGCCAAAGATCCAGAAACAGTAGAAAGCAAACTGGATATTAGAGCAAAGAGAAGAGAAGCCAAAGCCAAGATCTCAGGAAGAATCAAAGAAATAAATAATTTCAAGTACGGTACAGATGGAACATGGCAAAACAGACTGACACCAGGTTGGCAAAGAAATGAAACAAGGCTGTATGCTTTCCCCTTATTTATTCAACTTATATACTGAGGGATGCTGAATTGGAAGAAGAGTGTGGTTTTAAAATTGGAGGAAGAAACATCAAAAACCTGCACTTTGTTGATGACACTACTCTGACAGCCCAAAATGCAAATGATCTGCAAACTCTAGTAATGAATGTCAATGAACACAGTAAAAAAATGGGACTAAAATTAAATATGAAGACCAAATGAATAACAACGGGTACAGCAACCAGCCTTAGAACTGACAATGAAGATATTGAAGTAGTGGATACTTCTGCCTTTTAGGATTAATTATCAACACTAAAGGAACCAGAGTTCAAGAAATATGCTGCAGACTAGCACTTGGTAGAGTAGCGACAAAGACCTTGGAAAAAATATTCATATGTTGTGATGTGTCTACACTTACAAAGATCAGAATCATGCAGGGAATGATTTTCCCTGAGATACTTTATGGAAGCAAAAGTTGGATTTTGAAGAAAAATGATAGAAAGAATATTGATGCTTTCGAGCTTTAGTGTTGGAGAAAAACCCTAAGAATACAGTGGATGGCCAAGAAAACAAAAACAAATGTATCATTGAACAAATCAACCCAGGCACAAATGAGCAGGCTCAAATGATCATACTTTGGGCACATTATGGGAAGACCTAGCATTTTAGGAAAGGTGGAAGGAATGCTGGGAAAGGTAGAAGGAAATTGAAGAGGACGATCAGAAATAAGGTGGCAATGGGCGCACCATTGGAAGACCTGAAAGACCAGGTTGGGGACAGATCCTTCTGGAGAAAATCTTTTTATGTGGTCACTAAGAGTTGACTGACTTGATAGCATATAATCAGTCAATCAATCAACCTCCAGATGTACTGGGACGCAAGAGATTGTAAGTAGATTGTAAGATTTCCTGCATCAACATGAAGCTGGACTAGAACTCTGAGCACTTTCCATTCTGATTCAGCTAAAAACCTCACCAGCTTTTGGTAAATTAGAAATGAAGA